CCCAAGGTTGGGGAACACTGCTGTATAGGTACTGAAGTATATAACAGCAGCAAAAGAAACCATAGCTAAAATCCAGCTGCACTTTACACAAAAAGTGTTACTTTTGGAGGTAATCTGTCTCAAGGTAAGAAATCTCCATTGACACTGTCCATCCCAAATCACAGAAGTTGTTACTCTACAAATAACGTCTACAGAGATTTCTTGCCTTAAAGCAACTTGCTTCCAAAAGTTACACCTTTTGCATAGCTGCACAACAGAGTTTTAGCCAGTGAGGGGGGAAATGATCTCATTTGCTGCTAATTTCATGGGATAGATTAAAACTTCTCTAGCTGTCCTCAAAACATATTTCAAATGTGTATACCCATGTTTATAAAATAGTTTTTCCACATCATAAATTTTAAAGGTTCCCCTTGACATTTAGTCCAGTCGTGTCCAACTCTAGGGCGCGGTGCTCATTCCTGTCTCCAAGCTGTATAACCAGCGTTTGTCCGTAGAAAGTTTCCATGGTTGTATGGCCAGCCCAACTAGACACGGAACACCGTTACCTTTCCACCATGGTGGTACCTATTTATCTCCTCGCATTTACATGCTTTTGAACGACTAGGTTGGCAGGAGCTGGAACAAGCGACGGGAACTCACTCCGTCGCGTGGATTCGATCTTACAACTGCTCATCTTCTGACCTGGGCAAGCCTCCGACGGCTTGGCCAGCAGGCCAAGGCAGTCCTGAAAACAGCAAAATCAGGGAGCTGGACAGGGGGTAGATTGTATTTGTCTTCAGTGAGGAAGGAATTGTCATTCTTGAATTGGCCTTCTCGGCCACACTAGACGCTGTTCCAAGTCCTCTATTCAGAGCACGTTACCATAATCCAATGGTGGCGAACTTTTTTGGGCTTGTATGCCCAAACTGGGGGGCGGGTGGGCGGATAGGCAGCAGCGGAACCATAAGTGGCAGCGGAAGGGAGAATCCCAGGGGGGAAGGAGGTCCCTCGAGACCCCACTCCGGATCCACCACTAGCACCAGCTGCTCTAGATCCTGACCCACCGCCTGTCCGGGCACCAGCACCATGACTGCAGCTGCCTGCTCAAGTCTGGCTGTGGGGGGGAGGGGGACAGTAGCGATCTGGCAACTTATGGCTCACGTTCCAGAAGGGCACCGTGTGCCAGCTGTGGCACGCGTGCCATAAGTTCGCCATTGCTGCATAGTCTCTTGAGACTGAAGGATGCCTAATCTAAACCTCAACAACCTGAATTTTGCAATGTTTTCAGTTTTCTGATTATGATTATTTATGATTCAGAAACAAGCAGCATACACTGTCCATCATCTCCTTGCCACCTATATTTTGACTTGTTAATTACCAGAAAATATCTGAGAATCTACAACTAGATAAATATATACAGGATCAATTGTAATTCCACAATGTCCAGTTGCTGATCTTCTCAAGCACTGTATGTTAACACTTAAGAAATCAGCAGCTGATCCCTATGTGATTCTACACTGCAAAAAAGCATGTGTGCTTCTTAGCCAGACTGTGGATTATACTCCTATCCCAAATTTATTTCTAACGCAGTGACATTATAAAAGTGCTAACTACAATTCATTATGTTGTAATAATTACAGTAATCAAGATGCAAGCTTATGGAAGATGTATGAATTTTTTAAAAAACTTAAACAATTTAAATGGAAAGGAAGCAGTATAAATTCCATAAATTACAAGAGGCCAAAAACTAGGACGCATAACATTTCTAAAGCTACACATTATTCATGAATAAACTAAAAACTTTGGTTCATTCAGCAAATCAAATCCTGATGCTTACTGCTTGCCAAACTGAAAAGCCTAAAATGTTTTAACAAGCTCAGTAAGCCTAAATTCTCCACAGAAAAACCAGCCTTAAATGCATCCCAAAATTCATGTTTTTTCATTTACAGTGCTGCCTCGCTTAACGAGCGCCCGTTAACGACGAAATCGCATAGCGATTTGTTTTTTGCGATCGCAAAAGCGATTGCATTGCGATCTTTTAAATGGGAAAAAATTGCTTTGCGATGATCAGTAAGCGGTTTCGCTTACCGATTTCCGCATAGTGCTGTTTTCCCAACAGCTGATTGGCAGTTCCAAAATGGCCGCCGGCTAAAAAACATGGCCGCCTGCTGCGTTTTGAGACAGATTCCTCACATACCGGGCAGCGAAAATGGCCGCCGTATGGAGGATTTTCGCTTAAAGGCAAGTTTTTTGCCCATAGGAACACACTGAAGGGGTTTCAATGCATTCCTATGGGCTTTTAAAAATCGCTTAGTGATATTTTCGGTTAGTGCCGATTTTTGCTGCACTGATTAACATCACTAAGCGAGGCACCACTGTATTTACATCTAGAGACCGTGCTAGCTAGGCAACAGTGACCTCTGTAAATATTGCTGCTCTTGCCGATTCAAAATGTAATTTGAAAGCAGCTACAAAAGCATTTTAAGATCTAAAGTCCAGAAGAACTTCACACAGTTGTTATCTTTGCTTACTAATCCCAATGAACAGGCACCAACTACTTACACAGGCTTCCTGTGGAAATGATTTCTCTAACACTGTTGGGACTTGCTTCCAGCCATGTGCTGGATCTAGGGGTCAAGGGATGTAAATTCCCCACACCTGCGGTGTAACAGATGCAGAGTGGAAGACCTGAATCATGGGCAGTAGCTGGCAAGTCAAAGCCTGTCCTTCTGGTGCAGTGCCAGAAAAGGCAGCCTCCAAGCCAGAGGGATCCACCTTCTTCCTCTACAGCCAACATCAGTGATCTGGGCACCTATTTTAAGTGTCTTTCAAGTCCATTAACTATGTGACCTCATGGGATTTAAAAAGAACAAGGGGGGGATGGCAGGAAGGAAGATGTGTGTTTCCTTCATCGACTTTATTTTTTTATTTTTTTGCCAAGGATTCTCTCCTAGTGCAACATGGCAGCAACGGGAACCCATTCCAACCTTTCCCAAGACCCTCCTCCTAAACTTGGAGATCAGTTGCCACAGCGATCTTCCCTCCCACTCCTCCTCTTGACCGGGCAAGCTCAACCCTGGCCAGGAATACTGGATCAATGTTACGAGGCCGGGAGGGAGGGAGAGAGAAAAGAATGCCGCCGCCAGAAGGAAAAGGAAATGAGGAATCGGTGAGGCAAGCGCTGGGAAGGCGACGGGCCTTGAGGCGGGAGACAGAGAAAAGGAAGCCGACAGGAATGGATTTGGAGGGGGGGGAGCCATTTAACAAAAGACTTTCCCAGTCCGGAGAAGGGTAAAGTTGGAAAAACGGGGGACGGAGGTGGGCGTGAACCAGCCCGCAAGGTTATGCAGGGAGCAGAACATTTAGAGTCGTCGTCGTTCTCCTCCTTCCAAGGGGAAGAGACTGAGGAAAGTCTGCAGTGGTTCAGCGAAAGAAAACCATATTTTGGGTCAAGAATGGGGGGGGTGGAAAGGCGCCTGAGAGGAAGGCGCTGCCAGGCAGCGAAGGC